GGGGGCTCGGCAGGGGGCGCTGTGCTGCAGGGAGTGGGCAGTCTGACTCTCTGTTGCCCCCTACAGGTTTGCGGGGGTTGATGCTGGCCGTGATGCTGGCCGCCCTGATGAGCTCCCTGGCCTCCATCTTCAATAGCAGCAGCACCCTATTCACCATGGACATCTACAACCGCCTGCGGCCCCGGGCCAGGAGCAAGGAGCTGCTGATTGTGGGCAGGTGAGGGTGCACTAGGGGCACTGGGCCGCAGGGAGTGCTGTGCCTCTGAGCTTGCTGTGAGCCCAGCCATGCCCTGTCTACCAGCCGGCACTAGGGGGCGCTGTGGGCCCAGCCACGCCCCTGCCCCTCACCCTGGTCTCTGGGCAGGGTGTGGATCTTGTGCATGGTGGCCATCAGCATTGCCTGGATCCCAGTGGTGCAGGCGGCGCAGAGCGGACAGCTTTTCGATTACATCCAGTCCATCGCCAGCTACCTGGCACCACCCATCGCCGCCGTCTTCTTCCTTGCCCTGTTCGTCAAGAGGGTCAACGAGCCCGTGAGTGCCAGGGGACCCAGGCATCTGGAGATGGAGAAGAGGGGGAGGGGATTGGGGGACCCAGGTGTCCGGGAATAGAGAGGAGGGGGGGGAAGGGACCCAGGTGTCCGGGGATGGCGAGAAGGGGGCGGGGGATCGGGGGATCCAGGTGTCTGGGCAGTCGGAGGATGTGGGGGACCCAGGCCTCCAGGAAGTTGGGGGGTGAGGGACCCAGGTGTCCAGGCAATGGAAAGAAAGGGGAGGGGTGGAGGGAGTGGGGATGCAGGCGTCACACTCTCTAGAATGGCTCAAGGGTGTGAGTCCCAACCTTAAGGCGGACTGACACCCAAACTCACCCCGATATTCAGGTTACTCCCCGTCCCAAGGGACCAGTCACTCACCCCCGGTCAGTTGCACCGCAGATCTCACAGCACAGACAAGGCTGGCAGCCAGTCCTGTAATAAACCAGCTGAAGATTTAGTAACTAAGAAGAAACAAGCGTGTTAGTTACAAGGGTAAAGCAGGTTAAAGCTACACACACAAACGAGTCTCCAAAAGGTGGCGGAAGCGTCGCTCACAAGCAAGCCCTATACATCCTTGTGAGCTAAGCACAGGCCAAGCACTGGGGATTGTTTAAGGACCTCAGGAGGTCATCTAGTCCAACCCCCTGCTCAAAGCAGGACCAATCCCCAGACAGATTTTTGCCCTGAATCCCTAAATGACTCTTTTAAGGATTGAACTCACAATCCTGGGTTTAGCAGATCAATGTGCAAACCACTGAGCTAGCCTCACCCCTCAGAGCACCATCATCACCAGCAGCAGCATAAAGATCCACATTCTTCCTGGCAGTGGTTTTTATTCCCTTCCCCCAGAGTTTAAGCTGGCGGGATGAGGCCTCAAGGGCATCTCCTCTTCATGGGTGGGTGGGTGGGTGCGGGGTGGGGAGGGCAATCATTTGCCCTTTGATGCTCCGCATCGGTCTGTCTGGTGTCGCTAGGTCTGGCTACACAGCAGCTGACACCCGCAGCCGACTCAGGCTTGGGCTGCGGGGCTGTTTCATGGCTGTGTAGATGACCGGGCGCGGCCCAGGCTGTAGGCGCCTGCGAAGTCAGAGGGTCCCAGAGCCTGGGCTCCAGCCCTGAGTCGGCTGGCACAGGCCAGCGTGGGCAGCTAACTGCTGTGGAGACAGACCCCACAGACCGTCTTTTGGAGGGCAGGAGCTACCTCCTGTGGCAAACCGGCATTTCACACCCAGTGGCGCTATTTTCCCAGCCGGTGATTTACCGTTACAGAGCAACCCCGCAGTATAACTGGGGTACAGAGGCGATAGGTGAGATCTCTGCCTGCAGCAACGTACAAACGCTTCAGCGAGTCTAAACGCTAACCCCTCAGATCTAATTTAACAATGTTAACACCCAGGTGAGCTAGGCTGGGTCCCAGCTATGTGTGTGTCAGTGTCCGGTTGAGGCCTAGAGACCTTGGCATGAGCTGACACTGCTGATGTCCACAGTAGGCAGCAGATGGACCTGGGGAGGGAGGGACGCAGGCATCCAGGCAGTGGGAAGGGAGGGGAGGAGTGTGGGGAATGGGGACCCAGTGTCTGGGCAGTGGGAGGATGGGGGAGGAGGGGAGCGTGTGGGGGATCCAAGTGCCAGGCACAGGGAGGATGGTGGAGGGAGTGGGGAACCCAGGCATCCCGGCAGTGGGAGGATGAGGGAGCAAGGACCCGGAAGCCCAGATGACCCCCCCCTTTCTCCACACAGGGCGCATTCTGGGGGCTGGTCGGGGGGCTGCTGATGGGTCTGGCCCGTCTGCTGCCTGAATTCGCCTATGGCACTGGCAGCTGCATCTTCCCCAGCGCCTGCCCCCGCCTCATCTGCGGGGTGCACTACCTGTACTTCGCCATCATCCTCTTCCTTGCCAGCGTCGTCCTGGTGGTGGGGGTATCGCTTTGCACCCCGCCCATCTCCGACAAGCACGTGAGCAACCCTTGGGAGGCGGGAAAGGGGATGGGACCCAGGCGTCCGGGACAGCTGTACAGGACTCTCACCCCTAGGAGGGAGAGACCAGGGTGGGGAAGTGTCCAGGACAGCAGTACAGGGCACTCGCCCCTGGGGGGGGAGCAGGACGGGGAATGGGACCCAGGCGTCCCAGTGCAGAGTGCTCACCGTGCGACCCCCCTCCCCAGCTACACCGGCTGGTGTTCAGCCTGCGTCACAGCAAAGAGGAGCGCGTGGACCTGGACACGGAGGAGGAGGAGGAGAGAAGGAGGCAAGAAACGAGGCAGCAACAGGGAGTGGCCGCGAATGGGGCTATGGAGCACGTGTTGGAGGTGGAAGGTGGGGCTCTAGAGGGCGCTGTTCTGCAGGGAGTGGGCGGGAGACTCAGCAGGGGGCGCTGTGCTACAGGGAGCAGGCGGGGGGCTCAGCAGGGGACAGGCAGGTGGCTCAGCAGGGGGCGCTGTGCTGCAGGGGGCGGGCGGGGGGCTCGGCAGGGGGCGCTGTGCTGCAGGGGGATAGGCGGGAGGCTCAGTAGGGGGCGCTGTGCTGCAGGGAGACAGGCAGGGGGCTCTGTGCTGCAGGGGGCGGGCGGGGGGCTCAGTAGGGGGCGCTGTGCTATAGGGAGCAGGCAGGGGGCGCTGTGCTGCAGGGGGCTCAGCAGGGGGCGCTGTTCACTCTCTTTCTTCCGCCAGGCCCCCCGGCCGGTCAGCCCCAGGGCTGCGTGGGGCGCTGCATGGCCTGGCTCTGCAGCCTGGGGGGTTCAGCGCAGCGGGAGCCGGAGCCGGGTGTGGAGCGGCTGCCGGACATCACGGAGCACCCAACCTGGAGCCGGGTCGTCAACCTCAACGCCATTGTCATGATGGCCATCGCCCTCTTCCTGTGGGGCTATTACGCCTGAGCCTCTGCCTCGGGGAGCCCTCCCGTCTCTGAGCCCCACTGCAGGGAGCCCACGGCAGCTCCTGCCTCTGCTATGGGGCTCCCAGGCCACCTCCCACCTCCTCAGCCCCCCACTGCTGCCAAATAAACCCTCTTTTCCTTCCCCCATTCCTGTAGCCCCCCCACACACACCCTCTCCCTGTGGTGGGATCCCCTCTGCCCTATGCAATAGTCCCCCCACCACTGTGCACCTCAGCTGTCAATGAGGGGCTTGTGTACCCCCTTTCCCCCTCCCCCAAGGTATTTTCTGGGGGCTCCCCTCCCCCCCAAACCCAGTGCAGAGACCACAGGAAGAGGGTGCAAACGGAAGGGGGGCAGCATAGCCCCCAGCCCCTCACCGACCCCCAGCCCGGCCTCCCCCCTCTCCCTCCGCCCCATGAAACTCAGGCTGGGAAGAGTGTGGAGGGGAAGCAACAGACAAATAAATGAATGGGAAACTGCCTCCGGTGGTTGCTTTTCTGGGCTGGAGCTGGCGCCCCCTAGAGGGGAAAGGCCCCACGTCCTGTTCCCCGAGCCAGCCAATCCCCTAGCCCAGAGCCAGATCGGAGCCAGCGCCCC